ATATATTATTTTTTTTGGTTAGGAAGTGTGAAGCTTTGTGTGTATGATTTCTGTACAAAAAACAAAAGAAACACTCCCTGAGTCCTTGCAGCTTCCTTGGCCGTTCTCAAAGCCAACTCCAGGAGTTCATTGCTGTCTCCCTCACTCCTGCCCCAGCCAGACTCCACGCCTAGAACGTGAGTGTCCTCTCCCAGTAACCGAACCCGGCCCAGCCCCCACAGCCCACTCCAGCAGCCCCCACCCATGCCAGCCCGAGGGCCCTCGTGGGCTCCTGGGTGCCGCTCACAGGCTGTAGGGATTCAAACTAACCCCCCCGGATCTCCGAGATGCCTTGGTGCTCCCGGCCGCGGGCCGTCTGGGGCAGAAGGGAGCCATTTCCAGGCCCAGAGGACCCTCAGGACGCGGGACTCCCTGTAGCCCTGCTCTGGCCAGGCCTGCCTGAGGCCACGCTGCTAGGAGGCACCCCCTGTCTCCCCAAGGTCCCAGGCTGTTGAAGGCCCCAGCCCAGGGATGGGCAGATCTCAGGGGCAGATCCCACCGGCCCCTCTGCCGAACACAACCAGAACCTGCCCCCAGCTCCAGAGGCCAGCGCCTTCTGGGGCCAGGGGCCTGCTCCCTCAGTCCGTGGGCCTCTCACTTCTGCCCGCAAGCACGGGGGTGCCCAGTGACTCCCACCAGCAGAACTGAGCCTGCCTCATTGCCCCCACCTGTCCCGCTGCCCAGGGGATCCGTGCCTCTTGCAAAGGCAGGAGGCCCCACTCCAGCCTCCCGGGCAACACAGGCAGATCCTCCAGACCAGCACCCGGACCGCCCTGCAGGGCCCACAGCCTCCCTAGCCCCGCCCGCGCTGCCCCCTGCTTGGCCATGGACACCTTCGTCCTTGGCGTGACTCAGCTGCTTCTCATCGGACACACGGGTGGTGACATGAACACGTGGGCCGGGAGCAGAGCTGGCCCTGGAGGCAGCCCTGGGGGATGGCCTCTTCCTCCCTCCTCCTCCCCTGGCCTGCTTTTGGCTTCTGCGTGCCCCCAGACAGAGCAGGCCAGGGAAGCAGCCTCTAAAGGGGTAGCCAGACTCTGAAGCCTCTGGCCCTGGAGTGGGCAGCAGCTCCGTGTCCCCCAACTTGGCGGATGGCCGCCTGCACTCCATCCACGCTGGTCTGGCCCCGCAGACCAGGCGGAGCTCACACGGTATCGCTTTCCCTCCAGGCCTGGTCATGTCTGTACTTCGGGATGTCTCAGAAATACATTTGTGCGAAGTGGAGAGGAGCAGAGCGTCTTTCTTGCCGAGGGAGTGGGCTTTCCTGCCTTGCTCCAGGGTCGGGCTGGGGTCTTGAGTGTGGGTGGCTCTTTGGTGGAGATGGGGTGTTGGCGGGGCTGCGTGCCTGGCCCACGGGGCTAGCTGACTGCAGGTTCGGGAGACCTGTGTCCCCTGCTCTTCATACCCCGTGCCCCGACTCAGGACAGCTG